CTTGATGCCTGTCTGTTATGAGCATAAAGAAAGAACCTTAGAATCCTTCGAAAATTTAGATGGTAAGAAGCGACACAAAGGAGGAGTAGCCCGCACCTGCTTTCGATTCCTCCGCCCTCGTTTAGCAACAGAAGAGAAGAAGAGGAATAGAAGGAGACGGAGTGGATGTGGGAGAGATAAGATAGACAAGCCACAGCCTTGCTCAAACGATACATAGCAGTGCGTGGCACAGAATGGTATACCAAGAAAAAGCAGAGACACAGACGCACACCCTGCACACCCTGACACAGCATGATGTTCCCAGTCCGTCAGCCACTCCACGATGCCCGTGGTCCCTCTGTATGAGATCACCACGTCCTCTTCAAGAGCATCCGGGCATGCTGTCAATTCTGGGAAATCGGCACTCAACCCTATGGGTCATATCACCGTCCTGATCATTGTGAGCTATGAAGCCGTGGGTGTCAACCTCATGGGACATTCTGTCGTGGTGCCGTCTACAGCATGGGAGATATTGCAAGATGTCCAGGGCCCCGTGCCGTCCGCACACTCCCGAAAAGGGAAAGGTGCGAAAAGATCCGGTCAACAGTGTAGCCCAAGCCCTGCAGGATTTCAGACAAGGGCCGCCGTGCTCGTTCAGGCCTCAGTGACTCAATGTTGCCAGAGTTCAAGCTCTGAAGTGTGTTGTGGTTCAGAATGGCTCAGGACCGCCACCCTCCTGCGATCATCTCGATCGCCTTTCTTGTGCCGCCGAGATTGTCGACAGTCCCTCGCCTCAAATCAGCAAGAAGGCAAGCGTCTCTGATTCAACTTCGAGGGACTCCGTCCATTCCTTGAGAGCCTAGCTGATCATCTGTGTAGGCCAGGCACGCCAGCTTCACTCCTCCAAATTTCAGTGGCAAGCTTCTGGACCACCTCTTTACAGCCTTGAAACACTTGCTGGCCTGTGGTCGGACAAATCCCACGAACCACACTGACGCACTGTGATGGTCCTAGCAGCAAGTCGTCGATTCGGATGCCGCCAGGCTGCAATGCCTGGCAAGTAGTGCCGGACTGAAATCAACACACTTGTCGGCTTCGTCTCATGACTTTGCCAGCCCCACGCGGGAAGCGCTATAGGGCCTTCCGTGTGCCCGTCGGGGCAGCCTCTGAGCAGCCCGCAGGCACCCAATTCTGTATTGCTCGTATCAACAGACGCTCAGAGGCCGACCCAAGCCGAAATCCTCGGGTAGTGCGCACAAGGCTCTTCAATTTTGTCACTGCAAAACACGCTGATAGAGTCAGGAAAAAGTCTACGTTACATTGGCGATAGATTTTGTGTTGCTTTGTTAAACTGCAAATGGGAATGCAAACGTTGGAATGCGCTTTGTCTGGGCTCTGAACCAAAGGCATCCTTCAGTGGCCCCTTGATGACCAAGCGCCTCTTGCACGACGACTGACATGCCTGCGGAGCAGTGATCTACAGTGTAGTGTACAAGTACCTTCAGATTCAAGAAAACTCTCTGTGTAACTCTCAATGATTCTCACTTGTCTTCGATAGACATCATCAAACTGATGCAGAGAGCGCAGAGCCATGCAGGCACAGCCTCGCCTCCAGGAAATATGAGCTTGAATCGCTCCACTGGCTCTCAGTGTTCTCCTCGGAGACTATCCCTTGCTTCCTGTCTCGGCTGAAGCACCTGCGAGCATCTTTGAGGCTTCGAGGGGCGCATCTCGAACTTTCGGATCGCGAATGATAGCGCGCCTGGCCCCGGTCAGATCGACCTCCTGGCATGAAACATGATCGTTCTCAACATCAGGACCGGTTGGCAAGTTGCTGCGCAGCATGAGTGACAGTTACGACATCACAATGAGACTTGTCAAAATTTGTCAAAGGCGATGTCCGAGAATTGGTGAATCCGTGCTGGGCCTTGAGCTTCAAGGCCGGTGAAGCACTTGCCAAGTGATGGCGGCCCAGGAGGATCCGAGGCTCCTGGCCGCAATGGTCGTGGCCGAGGCGCAGTTTCTCGGCGTGCTTCATGTTTCTTGTTTTGCTTCATCTGTTTTGCATTTCCACTGGTGCCTCTCTCACGGGACTGGCAGACGGTGCCTTTGCTTCCTGGCAGCACAAAACACAACAGAAAGAGGCGAGAAGTCGTTCACGACTTCCCTTGTGGGCGCCGAACCTTCTGCAAGTTTGTGCTACCGCTGCAGCCCATCGCTTCGATCGCGCAATGAGGAAGCCACGGCTCTGACAGTGAGTTGCAGCATTTGCTGAAGTCAGTGTCCGGTGCTTGGCTAGAGTGGAGACGGGCTCGCAACAGGGAGTTGTAGCTAGGGTCCAGCCAGGTCCTATGTTAGTGTAGTTTCACGCATGTCAAATCCTGGCAGCTCTGCTTGTCTGACACGGCTGTGCAACAGGAGAGGGCAGGCTGGCGATGCTACAGAGCCATGCTCCTATATCCTCATGTCTTATACACGCTGGTGCCACCATGTCCAACCGAAAAGCCAACATGCAAGGGCATTTCATATTGACTTGCACTCGACTCGCACAGTTGTCAAAAGCGCAGCTCTCTGCGCGGTAGATGCTACAAGTGCCCGGATGAAGACGGCGATTGCGTCTGGATGCGCTTCGCGTGGAGATTTCTAAGGGCCTGGTTGTCCTTCCTTTTGTCTGGATGCAGGTTGGCATCTCTAGCGTTTTGTTGCAATGCACCAGCCACGGTGTTCGATCAAGATCAAAGATCAGTGGTGATTCAGCCAAGCTGTGCGGGGAGTCGTTTGCTTAGCCAGCGGGTGCTCCCACGAGATCATCTAGGGAGCATCGAGAACAGCGGAGACGCTCCTGGCGCATTGCACGTCTTGGCGCGCATCCATGAAAACCCCTATCCTATATACAAAACGCCTGCAGAGGTAGCCAGAGTCCTACAGCCCTGGCACAAGCGTTAAGCCGGCTTTTTCCATTTGCAACGGCACGGGCATTAAAGAAGGCCAGCACGCGCTGTCCTCACGGAGGTTGAAGCGGAAACATGGCGGTTCAGAGAGAGTCTTTAGCCTCGAGTGAGCAAGCGAGAGAAGTGTAGGAACTGACCGTCCAACCTGCAGGTGTGCTGGTGAGCTCCAGCCGGCGGTGAGCTGCTGAGCCTAATGATGTGGTCGCACGTCAGCATGCGACGCCATCAACGGCAGCTGCCAATCCGCATCTCTCCAATGCCCTTATACGAATCGCCCAGCAGGCGCACCACAGCTCTGAGAGCCTTTTTTTCACTTAACAGCCGACACGCCTTTATTCATCGAGTTGAACGTGAGCTTTCCTTCCATTCCTAAGATGTCAAGCGCCAAACCAATCAAACAAAAGCTCTGACAAAGTCAGAAGTCCAAGCAAACCTCCAAACCTCCAAACCAATCAAGCGCTCTACCCGAAGCATCCCGAAGCGGTTGGCCCGAGCATGACCCTGCAAACTTGCGCCAAATGACACATTCAAACTCATGGATAAAGCAGAAAAAAACAGCCAACTGACCAGCAGCCATGGCGCAGGCTTCAGGGATCTGCGGAATCTACGGAGCACTGACGGAGCATTGTGAAGCCACCGGCAAGTTGAAAGCAGGATAGAGCTGTGGGTCAACTGAAAATGTATGATGACAGAGGAAACGACATCACAATTTGTTGCACAGCCATTTCTGCTCCTCGCACAGCGCTGCCGCAAATATGGTACATGAGACAATCTTCTGTGAGAAGGAAATGCAGACATGCTTGAATACTATGTTGCAGTCTCTCTCCATCATCACTTTGCGTGCAGCTGGGTCTCCGGGTACAATGCCTCCAATCAGTCAATGTCGGCTAGGCAGACAGCACACAGAAGAATGCTCAGCCCCTAGACCCTGGCACGGAAATCTCAAAGCTATGGAAGCCATCGGAAGTTGAAGGCTGAGGGCATTAATAATTAATCCGCCGAGGCCTCGGGCCGAAGGTGCTTAGGTTGTGAGAACAGGCACCCTCCAAAGCCTGCCTGGAATGGGTACCCCCCGTAGATCTGACAGCGGACGGCAGTTGAAGCCCCGCCCAGCAAACCCCCCCCCCCCCCCCCCCCCCCCCCCCCCCCCCCCCCCTCCCCCCTCCCCCTCCTGCCCTTCTCTGCCCCCTCTGCCCCCTCTGCCCCCTCTGCCCCCCCCCCTCCCTCCTTTTGCTTTTCGCCAAACCGTGAAGCGTGAGCCCCCAAAGCCCGCAACCCTAAACCAACCCTCAACCCGGAACCCTAAACCATAAACCCGGCACCCTAAACCCTAAACCCAACCCTCATTGCTTGGGGTGCAGCGACTTGGGCGCTGCGGAATCACCATGCTCACGCGGATGCACTGGGCCGGGCCGAGGCGGGTCGCGTAGCGTTAAATTAGTGGTTTCTTTCCTCTAGCCTGACAGCAACTTTGCATGGGGAGGCATGTGCGACATGCACTATCTCTGCGCATCGACCTTTGCATCGTGACCTTTGTCCGCGCGCGCGTTCGTCTCTCTCAGTGCGCAGTGACAAACTCAAACGCGCAAAAACTGTTCCAAGCCACGCGCCCGTCCCTTAAGCTCTCGGAAGTTCCGGCGGAAGCCCATGACCCAGAACCCGGTCACCCCGCCTTTTGCAAATAGTAGGCCCCAAGCGTATCTGCCGCTGGGCAATGTAATGATGAATTAGATTGACTGAATACTGTCGCCATGGCAGCAAGAGTCGTAAGAGGCACGTTGCATATTTTACAACGTCACGACAGGATGTTGAGACTGGTATCAGGTACGTCTTCCGTCGTGCTCGGCCATCTGTTGTGCTCTTTGCATTGCTCGTTCTTCTTCATTTCCGGCCATACGCGAACATGCGCGCACACGCACACACCAGCATGTGCATATGCCCATGCACACGCACACGTACACGTAACATGCCCGTGCACTCATCCCCTGCCTACTTGCTTAGCAAGCTGGTATAAGGCATGAAATACATGATATACTGTCCACGGCTTACCATCACAGACGAGGCGAATTTTTATTCTAGTGTTGACAAGGCTGCAGCCTGAGGCTTGTCGAAGGTCTTTTTGCCTTGCGGCTTTGGCTTGTCCGACGGCCTGATTACAAAACTGCGCAAAACCCAACCCCAAGAATTCAAGTAGAGCCGAGGGGAGCGTGCCTAAGGAAATCGCCCTTCTGGACAACTGCCATGGTCCTGTCACCGGGACTCCGTGGGACGCGTCGGGGACTATGGTGCTTCAAGGAGGGTCCGTGACGATCCATGATCCGCGATATGAGTGGAATCTCAATCCGGAACCCGCCACAACCCCTCCTGTCCTGAAGCCCTGTGCTTCCTCTTTCAAGGGGATCATGAAGCGCATGTAAGCCTTTGAAGACAAGAACGTTGGATCAACATAAACTGCACGGGTGGGTTGGCCAGCAACACTTTGTGCACTTCTGCACGGGAAAGTGCCTTGATGCACTTTGCCATCTGATCATCCCGAAGCTCCTTCTTGTTTGACACAATCTTGGGACAAATCACCTGATCGACCGTCGGCACAAGCTGCTGCTACTTCTGAGAAAGCCATCTAAATCTAAGGGACGTGCTCTGAACAGTTTCTCGTTGCGAATGCCGATTTCGTGATGAATCTGTATGACTTCCGCGAGAAGCCTGTTCACTCCGAGCTCAGTGCCTCTAGATGCAACAACCCATAACAACCCATGCTAATCTTGATTCTGAACTCTTGGCCGCAGGCGTGACAGGAATTCGCTCAATCTCATCCATTATGCGTCTTGCCGCCAGCTGGAATAGAAAGTTGTCGCTTTCCTACAATGCATGTTCCGGATAGAGAAGCAAACAGAATGCAGCGGCAGTGTCAGAGACTCGTGGCTGTTCATCACAGCTGTACCGCTGTGTCAGCTCCTGTGTATGAACTGTCTGCCTGTCCCCCGCACGTTTGTGGATGCGAGCTTTCGCAACAGCCTTAGCAAACGGATAGAATGCGGCTGCGCTGGAAACAGGCCATCGCTCCAACTGAGTTGGATGCCCAAAGCAGGTGCGTGAGCCCATCATATGACAGCTCCTTAATGCGACGCCCTTTGTCACGCACCAACTCCTCCAAGACAGTGGCGCGACTGGCACGAAACATGAGTGAGTATCGCGTTCTCAATGCTGGCCTTGACCACGTGAGAGACGACGTGCTTGTGCTTCTGAATCTCTTCACCGTTTCCACATCTTGCCAAAGACCACAGGAGCTTGGACGCCGTGTCAGCACTCCAATCGCTTGTGCTCAGACGACCTCTCTGACGGTCACTGTGACAATCTGTGACAATCTGTGACAGCCAATATGTCTGCAACACGGACTCAACACGACTGCAACACTGAGGTGGCCACTCATGGAATTGGCGATCGCTCCTTAAGACAGACTCACTGAATCAGAATCACAAAAGACACAAGTGCTCTGCAGTTGCTCAGCGACTCCGCACATCCCTCTGCAAGGTTTGAAGATTTGGGGCTAGTGCCCATGCTCATGGCGGCATTGCCACGTGCCTCTTCTGGGAATTTGGCTAAAGCCTCAGCCTCAGTGTGCTCAGTGTGCTCAGTGTGGCAAATGAGCATCAACCATCATGCATGTAGCAGCAATGTAGCAATGCAGCTGCTGCAATGCCATCATTCCCGACCACAATCGACCACAGTATGGTTCCAAGAGATGTTCAATGCAAAGCTGAGACCCTTGCTGCTCGAGAGAGGTCTTTGAGATCAATTGCAGGCGGAGGTTGGTGCAGGAGCTCCTGTCACAAGTAAAAAAAGCCTCGTCACAGATGAACGAGCCACCGCTCAAACGACTTGAAGAACCCATGCTCTCAAGCACGACGTGACTCGGCAGCGAGCACTGCTGCTAACTTCGCCGTTGCCACCACGGTCGCTGCTGCTGCTGCTGCTGCTGCTGCTGGTGCTGCTGCTGCTGGTGCTGCTGCTGCTGCTGGTGCTGCTGCTGCTGCTGCTGCTGCTGCTGCTGCTGCTGCTGCTGCTGCTGCTGCTGCTGCTGCTGCTGCTGTAATGGGAGTGCTCGTTGTCTGACTTGTCCATGTGAGTGTACAACTTTCTACCGCAAAATTGAATCAACTTGCGCACTTTCACACTTTGGTCCGCACTCTGGCACTGCCAACAGGGCAACTTGGGCATGCTCCTGAATTTTCTTGCACAAGGCTTTGACCTCGCATTCTCACATGTGAAAACTCATGCACTGGACTTCAGCGAACTGCACTGCAGCTCGGGCCGGCGCATGAGCCTGCCTGAAAAGATCCTCCCTCAATTTGAATGAGCTCTTGGTTGCCATTGTGCAGAGGGCCTGTGCTGACGGCTGCCGGCTTTGGGGCTGGCTTGAGACGCTTGTGCCAGCATGCCAGTGTGCCAGTGCGACAGGCCATGTGCCTCAATCGCGACGAGGGAAGTGAAGTTCTGGCCCTTCTCCTACGCCCCACGCGAAATTCCGCGCGGCCCAGCTGTGCCCCAAGGCCAAAGGTCCCAAGCAAAGCTCCTTGACGTGAGCTGCACACCGCACGGCAGAGAGGGATGACACCTCCGACATGGTGCAGTCATTTGTGCAGCCTCTGAAGTTCTGAGCTTCAGCGTTTTGTGCCGGAACAATGCGAAGTGCGACTCAGCTTCACGTGAACCAACACTAGCCCACACTCCAGCAACCACTCCCTGCAAACATGGCATACCACGGCCTGTTGCAAAACTGCATCCTGTTCAGTGTCATCTTCGGTGCTCTGCCTTCAAGATTCAAATAGGTTGGGAGTTTACTTGTCCCGTGCAGTTTCGAAACTGAGAAACCGGCTGTGCTGTAGTAGCTGCCTGTCATGGCAGGTACACGTAGTACTACCTCGTGTGTGTGTGCGTCTCACGACAGTGGCCTTCGCCTGACGTTCCAAGTCATCCAACATGTCCAAGGTGGGACGTGGGCAACGAACGCCCGTAACGACTCCCGAAACAACGAGACTCGCAGAGACTCGCCTGGGCTGCTGCCTGCCACTGTGCGAAGTAGGCCTTCGGGTCCATCACCGCAGCGCCTGCGCGGTACAAACAAACAAACAAAGGAGGGAGAAGGGAGGGAGAGGGAGGGAGGAGTAAGGGCGAATGGCAATTACTCTCGCAGAGCTACGCAGTCACTTACTCCACCAAGCACCAGGCAGACAAGATCTGCCTTCTCTGCCTTTTGCGAGGAACCACTCCCTTATGAAGTCACGCTTCCCGTGATGATTCAAGACAGCCCAGTCTTTAAGGGGGCGAATGACAATCCGAATGACAATTGCTAGGTATGTTGCGCTCAACACCACAAACCTGCCTGTAGGTTGAAACCCACCTGGAGAAGCAGGGTCGGTAGTTGCTCTGTTGCAAACGCATGCAACGCCAACAAGCGCTCGTTCCCACAGCTCCCTACCTGTCCCAAAGGCTTCGTCCGCGCTGCGCTTCATGGCTCGTTGCGTTTTCTTGCGGTGCCAGACCAGCTAGGTGGCGCAGAAGTTAAGCAGGAGAATAGCTCCAGACACGTCTAGACAAGTCTCTACTCTAGAACGGCGATAGTGGCATCAACAAACTGGCCAGATGGAGCTGCCGCCTTCCAGAACCAACTGCGAGAAAGTGTTCACTTTCAGACTTTCAGAACAGTAACTGCTTGCCGCTGCTTGCCACTGAATTCCCGAATGTACGCGGCCAAGTGTGGTGCTTCAAAAACCTCAATTCCAATTTAGGAAGTGTCTCTCATTGTCTCACCACAGAAGCTTTTTCTGAGTCTGCAAAAGAAAACACACAACCTCTGCCGAAATTGTCCCGCTCAGCATCTGAACAGCATTTGAGTGCAACATCTTTTCGCTCTGTCGCACTATCGGAGGCATCTGGTGGCAACTTTGCCATCGGCCTTCAAGGTGAAACCATCGCCGCCAGAACCTTCCAACATGATATGCGAGTATGCTGAAGACATCTAAGCAGTGCTCTCAAGTGCTCTCAGCAGGGCGATCCAGAGAGGCAGGGCTCGAGAAAGCAAAGGCACTGTTGGAAGCTTGACATGCTGCAGTGCTGTATTGCAGTGTGCTGTTTCTATGATCGGTCAATGGGTCAAATAGATCAACGAGTCTGGTGTAGCCTGCGCGGCGAAGCATTGTGCATTCGCCACTGTGTGTGGGCGGAAATTTTGGGTGCTTTCGGTCCGTTAACTCGTCGCGCCCCCCGCGATCAAGTTATGGTCAAAGGGTCTCATTTCGAAGTCCAGCAGCAGCTCCGAACTGCACGGGCAAACGGTGGAATACGCAGCTGCAAACGTTTGGTAAATGCTGGCTTCGTCCCTCTGCAAATCTTCGCGAGGTCAGTCAGGAATTTCTGTCATGTCACAGGCAGTACTGGGTGTCACTGCTATCGACCCTTCTTGCAGATATCCCGGCAGAGGTATCCGCCAAAAAGCTTGAGGTTGCCTTAGCTACGTACTGTAGTGGAGCTCGCACGGGCAATTCATGAGTGTTGATTAGCACTTAACACAGCTGTGCCCCTCCGTTCAAGTCTGTTGCTGCAAGTTGGAAGACTACGGCATACCCGATTTCCCCAGAAACTTCTTGTTTGGGGAAGCTTCGAAAACTGCTTTATTTGATCATGAACGGTGTTGGAGTTGCGAAAGTCCGACGGCAACCGAGGGCGATGCAAGCATTGTGACTTCCCTTCTTCGTGGAATTGTCCACCGGTGGATGCGAGCACTTGGCGCGAAGGAGGTCAGCTGGATTTGATGCGGCTTGGAGCCAGCTGTGGCGACGTTTGAAAAGCAGCTACCTGATGCGATTGATGCCACTTTGGCTGACCAGGCAAAGCCAGTGAAAGAGAGCTGCACTACAGCTGCTGTGTCTGGAAACCAGTTACCCGTGCATACGCGAGGTCCAATAGGCTTTGAGAGAAGGAAAAGCCGATCCAATCCAGAAACAGAGTTCCTGATGCGACATCGGATCGACGGCGGACGAGGAGGCGGTCCCTCTCCCTGCTCTCCATATCTCTCCAAGCTCTCCAGTGACACGCGGAAAAAAAAAGGCCGTCGAACTGTGGGCAGGGCCCCTAGGGCTCCGAAAGCTGAAGCTTCTTCGAGGTTGTCAGTGCAAGCACCTCGGTTCGCGTGTCGCTCGTGCTAAGATGCCTCACGTCATCACATGTGCAATGGTACAACATGGTACAACCCTCTTTTTTGTCGAGTCTAACTGGGCAAGAGACACAGCAGCGGAGGAGTCGCCTTCACTCCACGGCTCTTCTGCTCGCAGCATCTTCCTCCCAATGTGAGTGCGGGTCACAGCAGGCATGTTACTGGTAGCAACGTCATGCTCAGATGTAACAAGGGTCGTGTCCTGAACTCCTGTGGATCCAGATATCCATCACCATTGAGGTCAAACTCCTTGACCTACGCGCACAGTCAGGAAGTGCGATGTTGATATCAACTGCCGCACTGGCCAAAGTACACAGTAGCCGAGATGGTACGAGCATGAACCCCAAAGCTGCTTCGGACTAGCGATATATTCGCTGGTCTGAGTCTTGAACCATCTCTGTGAAGCGTCTGATGTTGTTGTCCTTGCCCAGCAGCATAAGGCTTCCCCAGCACGAGCATGAAAGTCATGTTAAATCCAAGCTCCTTTTTGTGAAGTGAGGTGCTAAGAACTTTCTGTACATCATCAGGGCCGATGAGACCTCAGCTCAGAGCCAAGAAACTACAGGTAGTGGAATATGCCTGAGTGCATCACAAGCTATCATCCTTTCGGCAACCTACAGTTGCTCGCCTCGACCAGTGATGTCCAGCTGTCCAAACATCTGGCAGATGCTGCAAAGAATAGAATAAAAACCAGCCGTGGAGGGAATGATGCAGCCCTTTTTTCATCGCTGCATGGGCAATCTATTCGAAAAACTCCTACGGCAGATGTACATGGAGAGGAAGGAACCCCTTTGAAACTTCAAACTGCTGGCCCCTCGCTAGTGTTAAGCATGTATTCTCCCTCCCGGAACCCAACACAGTGGTTGGGGGGTTGGGTTTAAGGTTTAGGGAAAGTTGTTTGGGGTTTAAGGTTCGGTTTACATTTTGGGAGGGGGGGATACCGGGGGGAGTTGGCGAACCGCGACAATCGGGATCGTATATAGACAATCATATATAGATGCGGAATATGAGCTCCCCGAACAATTACTAACGCCCTTGTAATCGCAATAAGATACTCGCAACAGTGTGGAGAAATCTCGACTGTTCAGCCTGACTCCACACAAGTAAAGATTAAGGGCTACACGCTAAACTTGCAGATTTAACCCCTGAATTTGATTCATCCTTAGTTTGATTCATTTCTCCATCGAAGCCGAACTTTGGAACTTGGGAAAGAGGCAGCGTTTTTGTCTTGATTTTGCTTCCGATCTAGCATGGAGGTCCACGACCACGATTCGGCTAAGTTTCCCCAAAACTTGAGGACAACGAAAGCTAGCCTGAATTAATATGGATTAGACACAACGCACACCATTACCACCACCACCACCACCACCACCAACACCACCACCATCGCCACCACCACACTCCACACTCCGCACTCCGAATTCCACCACACCCCACACACAGCCACACATGCGAACCTGTGGATAGAGGCAAACGCAAACTCTGCTCTGCTTGACGGTTTAGGGTAAGGATTCGAGCACGACTTGGCCACGCGGAGCCGGGGCGCGCTAGCATTCCTACTTTTACTGTTGCTTTCTTGTTTGAAGTAATGCGGGCGTTTAGGAGTTTAGGAGTTTCTGCAAGGTTAGACCGGCGGCTGGGATCCCAAGGCAAAAGCCCCTAGCAGAAAAGCTGCTTTCCCGCCCAGAGTCACCTATTTTGCCATTGAAAAGGCAGAGATACGAGGATAGGACTGGGAAACAGGAGAAGATGGGAGAATGACGGTGTGAAAGAGAACACTGCGTGGGAGAGTGGAGGAGGTGTCTTGCCTTCTCCATTGCAGGAACAGTGCAAAGGTATAAACATACAAACATGAACATAAACTACATGACTACGAACCGAATGCCACATTGCGGCCTCCATGGCACGAGACTCTTCACAATACCTGCAGGACAGCCCGGTTCCGAGCGTCAAGCTTGCTGAGCTGGTTTCAAGCGTTGGCCCCCTGTGACAACGTCTCGCTATGCACCCACTTTGGCGAGCTGACCTAAGGTGGTCTCTGTAGGAAAAGTCGACCTGCCTTTGCCGACGACTCTTCGAGGATCAAGTTGCCCTCTAAGGTAGCAACGGCGTTGCATTAGCTTGGTCCCTCTTGTGAGGCCATCAACGAGTGCAGGCTAACACCCTCAAGTCCTCAAGAAGACTGGAACGTGCTCAGTGTGCTGCTCAGTGCACAAAATGCTGCAACATCTCACTAGACTGCAAAAAGAAGCCAGCCTGTGAGTTGCAGGACTGGTCTATGTAGCCCGTCTTCAAATAGTGTCACGACATGCTGTCCAGCGTGAGAAAATTTGGATAAGCGCGACAGCGGAAGCTGGCGAAGAATTCAGAATCTACGGCGGTCGCTCACGCCGTTCGGGGCTGCCTCACAGGAGTCTGGAAGATCCTTCACTGCCCCAGAAGCAGATCTGGGAAAACAAAGCTACCTTTTTTTGAACTTTTTTGTCAGCGGCAAACATCAGCTGACTCTGGTGAGCCTGGCATCTTCGAGTCAAACATGGCGACGCTGTCTTTTTGAGTGCCTAAGCTCCAGGAAACTGCTACAATGATTGCGCAGCGAACTGCACAGGGAACTGCGCAGCGAACTGCGCAGCGAAGTTTGTCTCACCCCCCCCCCCCACAAGCATGCCAGGGTTGGTTCATGAACAGCAACAGTCGGAACATCGAAGTGCCTGGAAGGTCAGCACCAGGAGCATCATCCCACAAGCTTGATGAAAATGACTCTGCGGCTTCCTTCCAAAGTGCTGTCTTGTCGAGAGCCCCATCATAGAGAGTGCTGTGCGTCACTGTGCGTCAATGCACCTCCGAGACCGCCGGAGTGTTGAAGAGTTTATCGATGTCCTCGGCTGGAAATATGCGGGCTGCAGACCGGACTTAGACTCAAACCAAGATAAACGCTCACGGACACCTCAAAAGGATCACAGGCGGCCTCCGCATTCTCTTGGAAGGAGTTGATCATCTCCAGCAGCCGCACGCGCTGGTCAAGGAGGATCACATCTGCATCCTGTGACATTTCCCAAGTCGGTCATCTGTGGGAACGATCGCAGACACAGCCGATCGTGCCTTGTAGTTTGTGGGAGTTGTGTCACGCATTGCCAGCAGGAACCTGTATGCTCCAACTCGTGCTTGCCATTAAAGTGCTGGCGTTGCGCATACTGATAGTTGGGCCTCAGCTGATGGTCCAGCAGCCCCCTTTGCTTCTGCACAACTTGCCGATAGAGGTGCAGATCCTGGCAAAGGTCTCCAGAGTTCATGAAGTCTAAAGTTCTAAAGTGGTTCTTGCCGGTAAGCCCCTAGGAAGTTGAATCGTGATGGGCACGTCTTGGTGAAGGACTTCTTGACGAGATGGTCTTGCAAACTTTTCTCGAGCGGTGTTCGGTGCTTGCATCGCTTTGGTGTTTTGGGATTATACTCACGCCTGTACTGTGAAGTAGGACTGGCAAGCTCATGCATTCCGATTTCAGCATCTGAACGGGTTGTTTCCGCTGTTGCCTGCATCTGCATTCTGATTAATTGCGCACATCGCTGACGTAAGTGAAAACATAGTTTGCAATCCCCCTCGGGTTGTAGGTCTGTTCGGTGGACCATAGGTCAACCGTTGGTCCACAGTCTTTAGTCTTGTCAATGGTTGGTCGTCATTTTGGAGGGTCCAGGGGGGAGCGGCTTGGTTTTCCAGGGCGCCATTTTGGCGTTTCTGTGGCGCGGGGGCACATAGCAACAACACCGCAAGCAGCGGCCATCCCTCGAAGCTTTTAAGCCCTGCCTATCTGAGAAGATAAAACCTGCAAGCTGCAGCTGCGCTGGTGTGGAGCCTCCTCAACTTTGCGGAGTATCTGCAGCATTCGCCTGATCACAGCCAAGAGCAGCAAATGGCAGCGATCAGCACCAGGTTCATGAAGCGATCCTCTTCTCACCCTGCGGATCATCGTCGTATTCGTCCTGCACTGGCGCAGCGGAGCGATTTTGTGGGATGGCAGCAGACACAGTTCCAGAGTGGCAGGCTCTTGGTCTTGGTTTATGCCGAGCCTGATTAATCCTCTTGTGCCCGCACTTCCGGCAGTAGACGCTGTCTGGCAGAAGAGGAGAATGGCCACATTGGGAGCAAGCCTTCAGAGCATGCCTAGGTCTGGTGTAAGTGCATGTAAACAGAAATGTAGAGGCAGTGCGGGATCAAAAAGGGGCACGAGTCACGCGGCGATAATGATAATCAGGTTTTTTACCCACCTTCGTTTTATGCCTCGCGAGCCTCCGATGCAAGGGGATCAAAGAGAGAGAGCTTGGCAAAAGTGTTGCCTCTTCTTTGAAGATCGAGTTGGGGAACATGCTCCGCTATTCTCAAACTGCTAAAATCTCATCACCATGAACTCTCTACTAGCAGCTATACCATTTTGATCCATTTTGGGTACCAAATCCGAAGGACCTCAGATGGCCGCCTGAAGAGTCAGTCAAGACCGTGTTCGGGTTCCAGTTTGCAAGCCCTGGGAGAACCGCACGGGATTTCGCGGTTTAGGGCTTTGGGTGAACTGCCACGTTTCTTGGAGAAATCACAACTTGCAACTAGTCTCAAGAGAAATTAACATTTGTGCCCCCCTTGAACAACCCTGGCAGATGTCGACGATGTGATGTCTTGACTGTGTATTGAGTAATGTTTGGAAGTCCTGGCTGCATAACCATACATAGATCCAACCTGCTTTCGGCCTGTTGGTCCTCTCGGGAGCGCTTTTGAGAATGTTCTGGATAAGTTGTCTTGGATTTGGGCGTCTCACTGACGTCTCCCTCCGACAACTTCTGCGCAACAAACGGTGCTCGTTTGTTTGTTGTAAGCCTGGTTGACCATGTAGATGAAAGGCAGAAGTTCGCTTGGTGTTGGCTCCGCCCAAATAAGCCACAACAACATACCTCTCGTATCAGCGATTTCAACCTGGTTGACTGGCAGGAAGACATCTTCTGAGTTCTAAACCCGGCCTTACTGAAGCCGGAAGGGGGCGGGCCCCGGCAGTTTTATGCGTTTGTGCGGAAACACAAGCCGCTTGGGGGAAGAGGTTTCTCCAAAAGAACTTTGTTGGGAACTCCTAACCCTCTGCCCTCCTGAAAAACATGAAAAACTCGCCTTTTCCCCACCGAGGGAGGGAACGACTACTACTTATAAGAAGACAGCGACGACGATGATGATGATGACGACGACTTCGAGTCACAGACGGCTGCCAGCCCGTGGCCTCCGTCAAGGATGATGCGTGCTCCTCATCTGCTGGCGCGTTCTTTTCCTCCTGCTGCAGCTTGTCCTGCATAAGTGCATGGATGTACAATTCTGAGCGGCTGCTCGCGCAAGGGCCTGCTGGGATTCGTTTGCATTCAAGACCACCCGCCTGATGCTGGCCCATGACTTCGACTATTTCGTTCTGAAGTTCTTCCAGCTTCTGCTGCATTTTCTCTACAGCATCCTTGGAAGCTTGAGAGGCGGCGTTGCATGACATGAAATTATGACGAACATGTGCACGTGCCTTCGGGCCACAAGCAGGGTTTCTAAGGCCTGATCCTTCTGTCGTTCGGCCCAGCTGAGGAATGCATCTTCAGGCTTTTCATCTACTTCTTTCTCCTCGACATGACAGCGATGTGTTGTGTGGCTCTGACATGTGGAGGCTCAGCATGACACGCCCATGCACTAAGGCGACTACGGATGCAGACAATGACAGGCCTGCACCTTCAGCTTCAAATCTTCAGTGCTGTCCGCATCTGGATCTGTTCGGTCCCTGAACAAAACGAAGCTCATCTTAATCATGCTGGCATATGCGGTGAATCGATTTTGCACGACGCATCATCTGTATTCAATGCGTGTGGATCCTGTCCTGGCTAAGTCTCAGCGCTCGTTCATACGCACAGCTCGGAACCGCATCACTGAGGCAGGAAGAGAGGGAGAGAGGGGAGGAGAAAGCTGCATGGCCTGAGGTAGAAGGACTGGATCCACAACAGCATAGAAGTTGGGATCTGGCGGTGGGTTGCCGAAAGCCGTAGCCAACGGTTCAGGCTTTCTCGCATTTCGTCTTCTGTGACCTGAGCTGCAGCAAATAAGCCGTGCACAAGGGCAGCAATCACAAAACGTGTGCAGACTGCTGATAGTAGTCTAGTCGCTTCAGGTGGTGGTCTTAGGGCATCTTGCCGGCAATACGATTGTTCTAGTGACGTTAGAACCTGTGTCCAGTACTACTGGATTTGGCTGGGACTTTAAGGCTCTAAGACCCTAAGAGATTCAACTTCCGCCAGAGCACCTGGGAGAGGCCAGAAACTGCCGGCGGCGACCAGAGCATGAGGGCACCGACTTGAGGAGCCACGAGAAAGGAAACTCAAACTGAACTCACGCCAAGCATATTCAAGCACCACGTCCCAGAATCCCAGAATCCCACAAGGTCACCCTGAGTTCCTCAACTTCTGCAGCTATGGAGTGGAGGACTTTGCGCCGGCTAAGGTCTAAGGATGTCTGAGGCTCCGACCCCGTGAAAGCGAATAGCTCTGCGTCGACAGACATCGATGAGCTCCTGCGCCTTCAGCCCGTCAATGCCTTCCCAGAAAAGATCCCTGTCCTGCCAGCACAAAGACCAAAATCATCCAAAAGGCAACCAGTCAACCAGTGAAAGAGCAAAGAGTAGCACCCCATGCAGCTCTGAGCAGTACGTTGAGTTGCTCACAGCTGTTCGGGTCCTCCCTTCTCAGATTGGTGATGTGGTGCCGAAGCTGCACCTGCAGCCACTTCTTAAAGCACACGGACCCGGTGCAGGCAGCTAGACGTATACTCATATCTCTTCTCCAGTGCCTCAACATGGCCCTGCCAAAACGTTCGAGACCTTAGTCTCAGTGTCATCCTATCACACGGCCCCCATGACTGTCAGA